AACCGACCCCTTGACGCAGCTTGTGGGGGCCGCCGAGGGGAGAAGCGGGGGCCGAAGCCCCCCGCGCCGGACAGACGGCCTTCAAACAGCACGTACAGACACCGTCCACCGCCTGGAAACGCCAGGAGCCAGCTGCCTGTAATTAAAGAGAAGCTGCCTCGCCGAGCTAACGAGCAGCGGGCAGGCTGAGGCCCCGCCAGCGGCCAGCTCGGCGGGCAGCAAGTGCTTTACTCACACAATTCTCACAAAATACCGATCCTGGGGGTGGCGGCTGCGGCCGGCACGGCGAGGCGGCCTTCCTCCCCTACTGCAAAATAAACCTAGTTACAAAGAAGCTAGTTACAATATGCAAATTCCTCCCAGACACCTTAGGACACAGCCAGCGCCTCGGTCCCAGAAGCGGTGCGCGCTCCTTTCCTCGCCCTGCCCCTGGATTCCGCTCCATCCGGAGTCACCTCTGCCCCTCGGCCACCTTCCGCCTGACTGGCCTTGAAAAACACACACCAACACTTTTTTTGCGAGTCAGAAAACTCCTCCGAGGAAGCTCCAACTCTGGAGTGCACAGTAAACAGGCAGACTAGCTGTGGCTGTACTCCTCTGCAGAAGAAATCAGCCTGGATTTTCCACTGTTTTTACACCCAGTATCTGATCTGTAAAGGTACTAAAACCAGACTTGAGCTCATCTTAGAAATGCGCTCCAGCTGATTCGGTCATCCTCACAAAGATGAACAGCTTTTGAAATAGGCAGATCAGGGCCAAATTTTGTCTGTCTTGACTTAGCGGGAATAGTGAGGCTGGAGACGTAAAAATGAGGTGGCTAAGCGCTAAAAGGAAAAAAAAACCCACACTTCTGAATTTCTTTTAGCATATATAAACAGAAGGAAAAATTAATTAAGTGAGAACCAGTGCTACTGGTGCGCTCACAAAGGGTCAGGTAGATCTTTTGGAAAGGGCTGAAGCGTTACAAACGTCACGGCAGCTCAGGTCTCCGACCCCAGCGCTGCCCCTGACTGCCGCGTTCGCTGGGTCAGGACAAACACAGTGTGTCAACCACTGGCCTGAATTGAAAACGATCCGTCCAGATTTATTTATTCCTACTAAAACAAAATCCTGTTAAACAGTACGTAACTCTGTGTCTCTACAAACTCACAGCTATCTGCCAAACAATAAAAATTCCAAACTACAAAAGATGAGTTGTATTCAGTAAATATAAATGGGAAATTTAGGCTTTGTGTAGAATGTTTATCAGACTATTTACAGTGCAACACAGATCGTTTGAGTTCAGATCTCGCCAGCTTCTCTCTCTTCTGATCTCTTGGAACGAGATTTGCCATTTGTGCTCTCGTGCCGCCTCTCAGAAGAGCTCTTCTCTTTCCTCTCTCTGTCTCGTGACTTTTCTCTTGAAGATCGATCTCTAGAAGATCTGAAGTACAAAGTAAACCGTCGCTATAAGCTTCACAACTAAAAGAATTTTCAAATATGCATAAAATTACAACATCGTTCCCTAATGGGGCTGTGGCATAACAGGTTTCTTACAGAAATGTCCCTAGGTACTGCGATGTCAGGAGTGGTGTCCCCCAAGACAGCAGCTCTGGTCCCTCTACAAGCTTTATGTAAGAGAACGCCAGTTTTGCAGTGCTGAGAGCACAGTGCAGCCTTTATTACTCTCTCTTCAGAGTGATCCTTTCAAGCTGTTGCCACAGGGGCTCTCCGAAATCTTCCCTGGGCCCCTTATTAGTTTACTGGGCCATACTGAAGTGCCTGCAATTTCTTCCTTGTCTATCACTCAGCTCTGTTCGTGCCTTCTAGAGTGCTTTTTTCATTATGCTCTAAGCTCATGGCTTTCTGCTCAACTGCTTTAAATACCAACTGTATTCTTTGGACTCAAACGCTTGCTCAGCCCTGGGCTTTTTCTGCTTTGCATCCTGACAAGCGTTGTCCTTGGCAGCATCCTGGGTTCAAAGCCAGGACGATACAGATTTATATTCACAGCCCACAACACAGGCGAATCTTTTCACAGCCTGCCCAAATGACAGCTACAGATTTTCAGTAGTGCTTCGCTATATCGGCCCACACAGAATTAAGCAGAGGGCTTCATGTTAGGTCCAATCTGAAAAGGCTGTTTTCCTGTACGATTCATGCCAGCTTATTGACGAGCAGCCTCCAAAAGGCGCTGATCCTGAAAATGAGCTCCAGCGGCCCATACCCCTCCAGAACTAGGCAGAGGCTTTCACAGACCCCGCACAGGCAGCACATTTTACTCTAGACTCACTACACGGGCTCTTCTTTGCAGCTGCAAGAAGAGGACCTGGCAGGTACCTTAGAGGTTTTCCAGCTTTCATTGATGCTGATTGTAGGGCGTAGAAATACTGCACAATTGCTGTATTAAAACCTTACAGCCCTCTGTGTCGCATGAGCCATTTCATTTTCATTAAGTCGTGTCATTTAACCAGAAGACAACAACAGTCTGTCCGATGAGATTAACTCTCTTCCTGTTCCCACAGCGATGCCTGCTGCCCACAGTCGTCCTACCCCCGAGATCTCCAGATCCTGCGACAGGCTCTCCATTTCTTTATACAAGTGAGACCTCAGACCAGCAGAACCTGCATGCAGGTTTCGTTAATTCTCGAGGTGAAAACAGAAGCTACACTCTTTAAGGGAACAGGGTTTTTCTGTTTGTTCTCTTGTTTTTGTTTTATTTTCTTAAACTGATCCTGGCCTCTCCCCAGTTCTCAGTAATTTTGTGGAAGTATGTCAGCTAGCCAATCCCCCTACAATCTCGATGGGCTGATTTGAATGTGTTCAAGGTTTTCAAAGTAATCCCTTACCTGCTCTTTAGTAATAGTTATTACAGGGTCTTCCTCACTTCCTAATTGTCCAAACTTCTTTTCTTTATTTTTCATGTTCAAGACAGATTTAAAAAAGGACTTTAGTATCTCAGCCATTGGAGAATCAACAGTATTTACACCCCCCCCTCAATTATTAACAGACTTATTTTTTCAGACCATTATTTCCCTCCCCTTCATCAGGAATCTTTAAAACCTGCTCTCACCCCTTAGCTAAAGTGACACAAGACACACAACAGCAGGCTTGTTTCTAGAACTGTACTTGAGTGGTGGTGCCTAATCAGGTGAGACAGTGCTAAAGCACTCCCCTATTAATTAGGAGCATTTAAAAAAAGCCTGATCTAACTTCAGCAAGCACCTGGAGATAGACTGGCTCCTGGGCTTAGAAGGGCTGTAAGGAAACGCAATGAGTCCTTTCAATTTTTTCTAATACTCCTACATATGCTTGCCTCATCCTTCCTCCAACACAGTGGGTGTTTTCCTGAGTTTCAGAAGAGACTGAAAGCCCTTCTTTGGACTACAGCGCTTCTCCTCAGGGACAGGAGAATGGTATACTCCTCCTCCCGGCTGCCTTTTCCCTCTCCCTCTAGTGCAGATTCCTAAAGAAACTTCTGTCTCTTGACTAGTCATCTTCTTACCCTAACAGAAGACACTTCCTTCCCCATGCCAGCACTGAGAGAAAGAAGCTGGGGAGCAGAAAGCAACCATAGAAATGTAACGTCAAAACTGCCTCTCAGTTACTTGGCTTTTACAGGCCCAGGGAGCCTCAGTTAGCTCAAGCAGGCCTTTGTGCTGCTTCTCGTACAAGAAAACCAGCAGTTTCTCACTGCAAATCAGGGAACCAGTTCTATCTCCTAGACTCTCCTCTCAAGCTGGGATCTCGCTGTACAGTTACTGCCCTACTGCTCTCACGTGAGGCCACCTACAAACGGCCACTGGGAAATCCTGCTTTGGCCCAGGAGCTGGTACAGGACACTGCAGCTGCGAACTTGAGAAACCAGCCATACTCCTGCTCACTCTAAGGGACTGGGGAGGCTCACTGTGATGCCAAGGACTTCCCTTTCCAGAAGCACTCATGTCAGGAATACATACTTGTGTTTTGAACTCCTGTCTCTGGACCCCCGTCGGTGACCTCTGCTGTGGCTGCGGGAACGGCTCCGGTGGCGTCTGTGTCGGTCTCGGGACCGGGAGCGAGACTTCCGCCGTTCACGGGAAGCCGATCTCGAGCGTCTTCGCCTCCTATCCCGAGACCGTGATCTGAAGAGGACACAGACTGCCTCAGACTCAGGAGACGAGCCAGTACATCAGATGTGTACACCTCAGCCCATCTCTCAGACATTCCTGAGTAACAAATATCCAGAACATCAGCACTCATCCCCCCAGCCGCATCCCTGCCAGCACAGACGGTGGATCACCCACAGGGTGGGCATCTCCCTCCTGGGCCCCATGCTACCAACAAAATGCCAGTGGGTAAATTCAATTTGCTGGGAAGCTTATATAAAAAGCTCCCACCGTTAATATAAGCATGTGCAGAGCTTACCAACCATGCCTCACTCAAAGTGAGGCCTGTATAACTAGAAGAGAAGCCAATGTAAGTGGCATGTGAAATTATCATAATCCATATGGCAGCCTGCCAAAAGAGAGTCTCCCTTGTGAAAGCACTGCACTTTAGAAGCAGATTTGTTTCAATCTGCTCTAAAAACAAAAGATGCCAATGTACATGGAAAGCAGCAGAGAGGAAGATCTCCAGGTATGTGATCAATGAGAGAAGGCTGTCATACTGCTAAGGCAAGCTCTTCACAGAGATGCGGGGGCTTTAATCTTGAATCTCTGTATTTTTACATCTGAGGTATTATATATGTAACAGATGTATTTCAGACATTAAAACTATGGCAGTGTATTAGATATTTATTGAAAAAGGCATCAAGTACCTTCTTAGACTCATACTCTGGAGCACACAGCACCCTCTGTCCTGACCAGGCTAGCCAGCATCTGCTTTCTAGCCCAATGGGTGACATTAAGTTGCACAGCACCACTGAAGTGCCCAAGCAGAGGTTCCCATTTCTTTCAGGGAGCAAAACAAGGATACTGAGTGAGCTCCATTTGTGAGACCCAGGAAAAACCTCAGTAACTAGATAGAAGCACGAATAGGCATTTGGGAAAACTGTAGGAGAACTGCACACTCACCTTCGACGATCTCTATTTCTTGATCCAGACCTAGAAAGAAGAGGAGAATTAAGCAAGAGAAAGTACGATATAGTCAGTGGGTTTTCAATAAAACAACCCATTCACCCTGGCAGCTCTTCACAGGAACACAACAATACCCCAAGTAATATGTCAGTTAAAAAAAAGCTTGCCGTAAAACCATTAAAACATATAATCATCTTCAATTTGGGGGGCGGGGGGAATGGGAGTTTGTCAAAAACTGAAAAACTTGGTAGAAACACTAGTTTCTACATGCAGAGCTTCTTGTCAGAACAGAAAAGGTCTACAAACCAATTCAGTCTCTGTCAATAAAACACCACAACAAACCTTTCCAACTTTTAAGTTTGCTGTGCATATTTGATATAAACACTTTACCCTCTGCAGTCTAACATCAACTAAATCAACTCTTAACATTTTCAAGAAAAATTGCCACTCTCCAGTCAGAAATACACTTGAGTTTTCTGATTTCGGTTCCTTTGAGGTAGTTTACATTAAAAAGGTTTTAATAAAGACAAAATACAGTATTTTCTCACTCATCATATTTATTTAACAAACACTAGATGGAAATGTGCATTAATTATTTTTTTCTTGTTTGGGAAAGATGAGGTAGGAAAAAAAAAAAAAGAGGGGACACAGACACAAGGGAAGAACTATGACTGAAAAGTAACTGACACACAGAGAAAATCCTTCATCCCAGACTTAGAAAGCAACTTGAGAACAATCATCGAAGTCTCACTATTCTTTCTCACATTCCCATGGCTTCAGAGCTCATGTACAGCACTCTAACCTTAACACGGTAAGCATTAGCTTTTGGCAGTCCGTAAATAACAATGTCACAATTCTTTCAACTTCTGAAGCGCCATTACTCAGCACCACTTAAAATACCACTCCACATGAAAGATACGCCCTCCCTTTTTCTCTATGGCCACATTTCAGAGCCAGCCTACAACAAAACTTCACACACTGTCTGAACGGTCTCTTTTTGCTTTAATTGAGAAGCGGCCGGTCTCCTTGTTTAGTGACTTAGAGACTCACTCTTGTAACTGCTCCCATCTCCCCACTGCACACAGACTCACAGGGGATGGTCCAGTTACACAGCCACAGAGCTGTTCTGGCACTGTAACAGGAGATGCGGCTGAAAGTTACACACAGACAAAATTTTAAAAAGCAATAGAGAAGCATCTATTTTAATAATATCATTTAAAACCATGCCTGGATAAGACAAGATTAAGAGAATCAACTGACATTCCTTCACAATGAAATGGGATTGTTCAATCATGGTAGAAAGAAAAAAAACCCAAAATATAGAGAGGAATTCAGGTAGAAGGACTGTAAACAAGGTGGAGCTGAACTTGGAGTCAGGCAAATGAACCATGCGCTGAGGCAACACACAAGATGACCAGATAAAGGAAAAGCTGATAAACCAGGAGAGCGAGGCAATAACCACACACCTCCTTTTTCATGTAACAGAACCTGACAGAGCAGGAGGACCTCCTGTAGATGCCTGGCAGGCAGCTGAATTTTTTCTGGTGGTTGTAATTACTCCAAGTTCTTAATGTTCTTTTCCTTCTGATCACTTTATTCTGAATCACCGGTGCACACATCCACACCAAGCCACTCCACATCCCCTGAAAAACCTGGCTGGCCTTCCACATCTATGATCTGAGCAGGATTTTGCACAATTAACTCCCGATAATCACTCCCTAGTGCTACACTTCAGAATTCAGGAAGCACCCAACAAAACAGCACTTTCCTTACTAGCCTGAATCGGTATACAGGAGACAGTAGAAGACTGCTGTCCAGAGAAGTAAGAGGCCGAGCATATTTATTATTTTTCCCCCCTCTTTTTTGTCCTTGCATCAGAGAGACTATGTCCTGAGTTTCATAACCTGTGTTTTGTCTAACTTATTACAAAAGAAATCCATTTGGCAACTCCACCTAGTGTGGTTTACCAGTGTACTTGGAAGCAAATGCCGAGGTCTACTCTTCCAAGCACACCACCTCTCCACAGAATTTCAGCCTGAAGAGATTACTAGGTGGCCCGCAGTCACTGTCAACACTAAACAACACAGGACATAGGACTTGGCTTTATATGCCACAAGGGGTGACAACCCAGTTCACTCATTCCTATGTGGAAATCACAAATTAATGAAGTCTGTGAGAGCTAGAGTTTCCCAAGTGAATCTACAGGCTTCCATAGTATCTGATAGTACCTATAAGCCACTAAAGACTTCTCAAAGTCAAGCAGTACTCTTACTGACTAACACCATGAAGATGCTGCATATGAAGATATGACGAAGAATTATGAAGGCAATATATTTGCTGTGGTTCCTTCAAGTATCAAGTTGTGCTTAAGACAGGCAGTCTGAAAGGCAGTAGCAGTCATTAATTAGTTTTTGATGGAAAAATGCCTCTGTAAGCATGGTGTTGCACAGCTCCCAGAGGAGAAGGTGCTGAGAAATTAAGAAATCTGGGCTCTAGTCCCAGTTCTGACACTACGTGTCCACCGGGAAAAATATTTTCATTCTTTGGGTCAAGTTCTCATTTCAGAGAGGCAAATAATTTTACCTCCTCTGTATGGCACTCATGGCTCCTTCATAACATGCTTTTCTTTGGTATCTGAACAGAGGAGCATACAGATGCCTCCATACAGAGTGAGAGCAAAGGCTGGCCACAGTCTCTAGTGCCACACATGGAACCAGCAAGAACTCAGACTTTAGGCAAACTCAATGCAGTTCTTAAACCCTTCACATTTAAAGCATTAAGCATTCAAAAGTGATCTTCAAACTCCCTTATCAGATGCATCCCTATACGGACTACCTGTGAACGCAAGAGGCTCCAACTCTCAGGAATGGAGATTTAAAAAAAAAAAAAACCACAACAAAAACAACACAACAAAACCACAGACATGCCAGAGGAGGAAGAAAGCCAGCATTTTGGGGAGATCCAGAGAACTCTTCCTGAAGGCAACCCTGTTGAGCAATTTTCACACAGAAATGAACTCCAGGAAAAAGAGGCACAATGGAGACAGACGCACTGAGTCCAGGTTAAATGTTGTCCTACAGTGTGGGTCAGAAAGAGCCTGCCACAAAGCAGCTGCACGGAAAGACACTTCTTGTTTCATTTACATCTTTCTGTCCATAGCAACAGCATACACCAGTCCCTTTCGATTAACTCCTGCACTCATCAGCCAGTTCCAGATTCTGCAGCTCTCAAATATAATGGCATTACTGACTATCTTGTGTAACTTGTGAGGCTCTGCATGAAGTGCTGCAGTTCAGGAGAAAGCTGCAGCATCAACTGGCATTTCATATGACACCAGGCAATCCACAGGGAGAGAGAAGCCACATAGAACAGTCTAACTGGAGAATGCATAACAATTTGGGGCTTACATCTTCACAATACACCAAAATCACCGAGCTGCAGACCACAGAAAACGAAGCTGCTTTGATTCTGGTATTTCTTTGCTAGCATTTCCAGAAATGTACACCCAGAAACTAGCACCATCTTAGAGCACACTGCAGTTACGTATCTCATACCTCAGCCATGGATGGCTGAAACACACTCTTCAGTTGACACTGAGGGTCAAAAAGAGCTTTCCACAGGCAGCAAGGTTGGGTTTTTTTGACACAAGAAGCACAACAGGTACACGTGAGGTAACTGGGGAGATACTGCGACAACGAGAACAGCATTCCTACTCAGCCACTTCCGCTGCCTGACCATTGCAAATAACCACCCACTCCACAGCAGGCTGTTTAACTGAGCTGTTTACACAAAAGATGCCTGTCCAAGTAAATAAGAAATAGTTTTTCCAGTTCAGCTGGCAAGAGGCAGAAGAGCTTGTCCTGAGAATACTAACATTGCAGCCACTCCCACTGCTCAAGGATTATACACGTATGAGCAGAAGGTGACACATACGGCCATAACCACCAGAAGCAGCCACTCCTTGGGATCCTCGGATCCCCTAGGAAGTGTTTTCCAAAGCTGTGCCTAAAGCACCTCACTGTTATTGTAGAAAAGTTCCTGAGCAAGACAGGCAGCCCAATGTCTGGCTCATGGATACCAGCTCCGCTCTGTTGTCACTGCCTAGCCTAGAAGTGAGGAGGGCTGTCCAGGGAATTTTTGCACAACTAACGCCTTTTGCACAGACCTAGCCCTCGCTCATCTTAAGCCTTCCCACTCAGATGCAGGACTGGAAGAAGGCATTTTATCCAGATTCAGATTCCCAAAGACTGGGACCAGACCAATATAAGCCTGAAGACTACAGGGAGCTCACATCTTTCAGATACACAATGGAGGTTAAAACAATACACATACAATCACTTTAAGGTGGGTGTTTTGTGCATTTGTTTTCATCTTTAAATGAATGCCAAGGTGCTCACACAGCATCTGGAGCATTTCCAACAGCTGCTCCAGCAGCAGATGCTGCTTTCCTGCAGTGCTCAGATACAAGAAATCAGACTATGTCAAAATCAACCTCCCAAACCAGTTATCAGCTTCCACTTACCTTCTGCCCATTCTCTCCTCTCGTTCTCTCTCCTCTCTCCGTCTCAAACGATCCTGGTTTCTCTTCTCTTGCTTTTCTGCCACTGTTTTCTAGAAAAAAGTTCACATCGTATTTCAGCCATACAGTAACAGGTCAGAGAGATCTGCAGGGAGACTATTCAGGCAGCAAGACAAAGGTAGTAAGACAAAGAACTGTTTCACTGCATTTTGCTAGTCAAGATCTCCCTCAAGGTTCTCATTTTCCTCACAACTTCACTAACACGCATCAGTGCAAGAAATGCCGCTCCCTACTCTGCTTTGAGTGTTTGTGCTCCAAGAGACAAGCCCATAAGCTTTGAGGCAAGGACTGTCTCACCACGAGTATACACAACACACAATGAAACTGCTCTGGCCTCGTGCCAGTGATCAGTCGAGGCACTGACCTCAATATACTGCTTAACGAATAAGGTACAGGAATCACAACTCTTACTCGAGCAGTCTAAAGGTCTCTGTTTGCAAGCAAGGCCAGTACTGCAATTCCATTACAAATCATGACAGAAAACAACTAATCACTTCAACTACTGAAGACCTTCACTGACAGCACTACGTGAAACTTCAGTTAAAGCATTTCGTTAAGAGGTCTGAAAGTGCTTTTCAATAGTCAAAAAAAAAAAAAAATCACAGTGACAAATTTCAGCCAACCCAATGAGAAAGAGCAATGGTGTTGTTGCATTTATTTAAGGAAGAAATCACTGCAGTGGTCTGGTTTGACTAATTCTGAGGGTACTTATTTAGTTACCCAGAAATTACAGAACATGTGAGGTTATGCAAACCTCCATTTGAAGTTTCAGGGATTCTGCAATCAGAAATTTCTGGGCTTCTACAAGCACTCTGCAAAGAATCCTGTATGAATTTAATAAAAGTGTTGAATATCTTCAGAACTACAAGAAGGTTTAAAACAGACAGGATTACCCTCAGCTGATCCAGTTTCTCACGAATCTGAATGAAACCCAAGTGTAATTTGCCTCCAAAGTGGTCAGCAAGACGCCGGTCGTTGTCATGGAGACCAAGATATGCTGAACAGACTTCACACACACGCAGCTTCTGCTGCTGGAAACTGGATGCAGGCATTGAATTTCTGTATTCTTCCTAAAAGGAGGCAAAAAAACAGGCAAATGTCAGGGAACCCTTAAATAGTCACAGCCCTCCAGGGAAACCCCTGCAAAGAATTGCCCTGCCGCTTTCAAGAATCAAAAAGATACCCTCAATATAATGAGGTGCCGTACAAAATGCTTTGTGAGCACAGCTAACCTGACAGTCTATCCCTGCAAGTGACTAGTGATCAAATGTTCCATAGGACAAATCCACCCCCGCCCCAGTCAGCTATCTTCACTAGATAAAAATTTCTAAAAAGCTTTTCTTCATCTATGACACTACACTGCCAACTGCTTGCTGGCATATGGCTGAAACTGAAAAAGGAGGTGCTGGTAACATAGGAAAAGAGGTAGGAACCGCCCAGCTGTTTGTCATGTACTCAGCCTAGCTATTACAATTCATAGGAGAACCAAGGCCATACCTCTGCCTCTTTCTTTTTTGCTCGGACTTTCTCCACTTCCATCAGGATCTTCTGAGACTCGTCAACATTTCCTTCAGCTCCCAGCTGTTCAGCTTTAGCTAGGAGTTTTCCAATGTCTTCATTCAGCTCATGTACTTTCTCTGCCTAAACAGAATAGTGTGCTTTTAATATGACAAAAAGCTTGCTAAAGCTTGCAGGATGACTCTTCCTTTTTATCTAAAAAATATTGTTTAATAAAAGCAGTTGGTGGAAGATGACTATAAATCTCCGAAAGTCAGAGTCCCTACAAAAAGGGACTCGTAGGCCAAATACAGGCAATGCAGTCACAGACACATAGCAAAGAGAGAAACTAGATATGGAGAGGACATCATCAGTTCTGCTGCAAACAGTGGCACATTTCTCGCTTGCAGGACAGGATAGAGTCCACAAAACCAGCTTCAGAAATGCTTTGTATTGTCCCAATGAAGCAAGTTCCGAAACTCCATGAGCATTTACTAAGTGAAAAGACAACAATCATGGGATGGATTTACTATTCTAAGCTATTACATTAACATTGAACAGTGTGGGGGGGAAACCAATATGCTTTACTGCCATACTAAAGCAACCTATTTTAGAGTTCATGTTTTACGCTACTATGGCCCTCTGAACCAGTACATTTGTCACAAGAACGGCCAGAGCAGCATTTGAGGAGGACGGCTGGAATCCACAAAGCCTTTGTGGAGCCTAACTTCCCAGTATCAATGGTGTCAGAGACAACAGAGCACCACTGCTCTCACACAGACTTGCAGAACAAACGTTTAATGAGAGGACAATACCTTTGCAGACACTTCAGCACTGATCTCTTCCTGTGTCTCAGCCAGGCGTTTCTTGGCCAGTTCTGTTCTCCTATCACACTCTGCGATGAAGGATTCCAGGTGATCCATCGCCTGCATGTTCAGACAGAGAGTTGTGAATAAAGATGCTCTTCGTGCCAGATCTAGCTTTGACATCCAACAGCTACCTGGTACAATCCCTGTATAATGCACAAGCAACCTCAAGAACGGATGCCTTGAGAAAAAAAATATATGACACTTTGCAGAAAAAGTAAAATCTGATCCCTGCCCTTAAGTCCGTCATTTGCCTGGAACCTGACACAGTTCCTTTACTCTCATACATAACAGAACGCTCACATGAAGACTGCTTTGCACGGGAACTTCCAACGCATGAGCAACAGGTGCAAAGACAAAAGCACTGGAAAAGCTAAATCTGGCAAAAGTGAAACCACAGAGCAGGCGGCTTTTAGCGTCAGATCTCCTTCTGGGACAAGCCAACAGCTTACAATGAGCTGGCACAGAGCAGCAGGTGTGGGATGCAAGGAATGCCAAAGGAGCCTCCCAGCTAGCTGGACTAATGAGGTTGCAAGGACCATAAATACTTTTACAATTTCAAGTCAGCAATCAAGCCAGCATTCGGGAAGGGGCTGCGTATTCTTGTCAGATAACACATCAAATAAGATGACTACCTGAAATGCCCACTGAGTTCTATTGTTCAGCCAGATAACTTCAAGAGGCAGTTTCCACAAAAGCAACAAAAATTTCTCCATACTCACATCCAGCTCAAAAAACAGGTCTCTCTCTTTACTTGCAATCTCATAATCTGCTCGCAGTGCCAAGTCATGGATCTTTGTACATTCTCCCAGGTCCATTCGCTGTTGAAAAGAAAAAGGAAAATCAATGTAAGAACCCTCCATTATGGCAACAAGCAGCAGATACTTAACTCTTGCCAACTGTATCATATCAAAATACAGCCTCTTTAGGAAGAAGAGCTTCCTCTTAACCTGTCAGTAACAAAACTACCCAGAAGAACCACGTGCTTGCTAGAAACCCCTTTTCTAGGTGTTCCTGGAACAACATTAAAACACCCCAAATGTTTTAAGTCCAGTCCTACTCCCGCTCTAGGTCACAGCACAGCCTTAGAAATTGCTGGGAGGGAGCTGGGAAGGTGCAGCACAAAACACCAGCAACTCCTTCAACAGGCACAAACTCCAAACGCCTCCTATTATAGAACTACAGCACAGCAAAACATACAGCTTTGTACCCTGTTTAAAGCTCACCTGAAAAAGCACATCTGTGTCAGGCCATGCCCTAGTAGCACAGTGGAAGATACCAAATCATAGAACACAGACAGAATGCTTCCTATTGAGAACAAGTGGATTTAAGGGAATAAGGGGTACAGCCAGTAGAAAAGCACAAACCCACGCTCAGCAACAACAGACTCATAATTCTACAGCTAGCCCCTTCCCACATGCAGCTGCAGCCTGGAATTTTAAAACCTGCCTAGCAAAGCTAATTCCTACGCATAAGCCCATCTAATCAGAGACTTCTCGAGAGCATCTCCCTTCCTAGAAAGCTCTGACTTGCATGCTGCCCTTCACTCCCATTGCAGCGGATGCTATTTAAATTTGTTATTTATCCCCAACCTAGTAGATAACAGCCACATGAGCTGAAGTTAATTATGCTCTCAAAACATGGAACTTGCATTTTGACATTATCAATATGTAACAGAGAACACTTCTCTTATTCTTAAAATAGAAAAAGAATATGACAACTTGAAAGCCAAAATAATAAAAGGCCTAAGTGTGAGCCATGGTATAAATGGCAGGGTACACGTCATCGCATGAAGGAACACCCCAGCCAGCCATCCTCTTCTCTCCCTGTCACCACCAGTCCCAAGGAGCCCAAACCTGAACACAGTACAACAGGTGTCAACTCACTGAACTGCAGAAAAAGCTAAATACGGCTAAACCGGGATCAACGCAGAATCCCTGCGGAACATCACAAACTAGAGCTGGGGATGCCAGGGATAACTGTGTGAAGCAACGCACTCGGACAGCAGCAATGAAGTGTTTAGAATGAAGCAAAGCAACTACAGCAAGCTCCACCAGGTAACGCTCAGGTATTCAGCAGTTACCTTTGTTATTAGCTTTTCTTTTTTAAACAAAGAAAACAATTCCGGATGACTCGCCACTATTTAGTCTTCCTCATTTTGCTCAGATTTACCAGAAACAGGAGGCCACAGGCAGCAGGCTACAGAAACAGACCCTGCATCCAGGAATAGTCCTGCTGAGCTTTCTAATGGTGGAAATCTAATGCCTACAAAAAAAAGCATTCGGTACTTTCAGAGCTTAATCATGTTCATCTTCAGGCAAGCCTCTTCAAAGAATGCCAGTGAGCCACTGTTATTTTACCACAAAAATAACTTTCCACAACATCAGATCACAACGTGACTTAAACCTTTTATTCTTATGGTCATTCTACTAAGATCCCTTCCCAATCTACGGAGAAAACAGTGATACTCCATGTGATTCTCAAAGATCATAAGTATTCTTATCTGAACTCTTCATGCAAGCTGATCCACTAGCCCCACTTCAGAGAAGGGGCTCCAAGCCAAAACTTCAGAAGAGCCAACAGTGTGCTCCGTATTCCTCTCCCCGTTTGTTAAAAGGCAATGAATCTCTCAACCTCTTCCTCGTGGGGAGAACGTTCAGGTTTCACCAGTACACAACCTCAAGTCTTCCTCCACATCCTTCGCGGTGCATGGAGATTTTCACAGGTATTGCTCACTTCAGGTAAGGCCACTAGCCCTTCTGTCGCAAAGAATCCTCTCATCTCAGGCAGGCCTGTCATCAAATGCTCACCCTTTCCAGCAGTGATTGTGACTTGCTCCAATCAACACCAGTGGCCAGTTTACAATACAGGTATTTGAGACAGGTAACCCGTAGAGCCTGAGTAAAGATTTAACCCCCCATACACACAGATTTAATATATTTAGATACCACTGACAATTAGTCCTGCTCACATTTGCTGAGCAATCCACGTTCTGAGGTATCTCTTATGATCTCCACTAAACTGCTAACTCACCAGAAAGTCTATTTCCAAGAGGAAGGCTCTTTAAAAGTAATCAGAGCTGCAGTTTTGACCAAGTAAAAAAGGAAAGCACAGACCTCCACGAAACGATTCTGCAACCTACAGATTTCAGTTCACTCATAACTCCCAGTGGGGGACACAATTAATTCCCTGAATGTAATTTCCAAGCTATGTTCTACCTGGGCAGCTTTCAAACTCATCTGTCCACTTATTAGTGGAGCTAAAATTCAGGATTACCAGCTGATGCCACCTATGAATGTGCCACAATACTTCCACTGACAGAAATACGCTTACCATTAGCTGCAAAGTTAACTCAGTGCAGGCCACTAATGATCTAGTGACAAGTCCCCTGGTAACAGCACACGTGCATATTAAACTAACTTGTGTTCTCCCAGAATTTTCCTCCTTTCCCACGGAGACCAAAGAGAACCATTGTAGCTTATTTAGTGATAAGTTTAGACAAGTTTCTGGGGCCAAAGGCTCTTATGACCAGGAACACTGGCCCACCTAAACAAAGCAAACATCAGCATGCCTTCTGCAGCTCTCAGGAGTATTCCAGAGCTTTACTTACAGTCTGGACTCCTTCTCTTACTCTGCACCTGAAGGTCAGTGGATGATACTCCATCACATTTCACTGAGCACAGCTGCTCAAGGGATCCAGCTTCCTGCTCATCTCCAATCAGCCTCCCACTAAGGAATACCTGCACACGTGAAGGACACAGCAATAACAATGCCTTCAGGGGGAGGATGCAACGCAACCAGCACCAGAAGGCTTGGAGCATCTGTTGGAAGTTTCCAAAAAGATCCAAGGTCCTGATCTCTGCAATAATACACATCCAGAGATGGACGCTACCCCATCCAGCTGAGGCTGGTTCACCCACACAGCTCTTCCCTTAATGGAGCACCATAAAGATGCCAGTGAACCTGACCAAGATCACAAGGAAAGCCTGCACATGCCAGTTAAGTCTCATTCCGTGCTGGTAGCGCTGACAGCTGAAATGCTGTTCCTGTTCCAGACATCACATGTCCTTTCAACACAGATCTGCAGCACCAATACTTTTTCTTGCCCCTAAGAACCTGCTGACAGCAGTGTGAGAGCTCCACAGCCATTTAAAGGCCACCACAAGATCATTTGAGTGATCCACAAGATCATTTGCGCAGAAGCTGCCTTCCTTCCTGCTCCTGTGCAAGACTTGTGAACGCGAATTCCACAGCAAGAGGGAAGAGACAACTCACTGCAGGTAAGTGACAACAAAAGCAAGAGAAACAGGTTTCTCAATGTGCTTCTCTGCCCCAGGAGACTCACAACACATCCGAACACCTCAGACTTCCTCCGTGCTTTGGCACTAGCTCCAACAGTCATGTACATCATTTAACTGAATGCCTTCAACTCACTGTTTACCTTCTTCCTGGAAATGTGCCAGAAGAGGTAGAAGGCAGTCTGCATCTTCAAAACACTGTTTGGGCCCCAAGAAGCTGTTGTAGAATCTCATGTCAAAAAATATACCCTAACCACAGTGACCTGCACAAAGTATGGAGGTGGGCAGAAGGGGATTTGAACAGCTTTAAAATTCTGAAATGGAAGCGAGGTGATATGAAGGCTGATGGGGCGATCGCTGGAAAATACATCTGAGTTTCAAATTAATAAAAAATAAACAGAGATATATAGAGACTGGTATTCAACTTCCAACCTTATTCTGCAATAGCAGCCACTGAGAAGCTAAAGTTTAAGCGCTTGGAGCCGAGGCAGCTTTTGCTAAAGCTCTTTCTACTAGTGCTGCCACAGAGTCCTGCTATCGCAGCGACAGAGGAAGGAGTGCCAGCCCTCCCCTTTGCTGGTAACCCACTGTGTCAAACCCAGCTCTTGAAATAACAGCAGGATGGGCTATAAATAATGACAGTATCTTTAAACAATCTGGTTAAGTGGATGGACAAACATCCATATTCATCTCCATCCTGCAATTCTGTAATACAGCAACAATTACAAGGATGTGCACCTTTTACTTTTGAAAGTCAGACTGCATCTTTCATCTGGGCACCTAAATGGAATACTTACTTCGCAAGATCTCGCTGTTAAAAGCTCACGTCACCTTTTGCTCTCAGAGAGAGCATGTGAGCCAAACGTTTGAAAACTGGCCAGCTCTGTCCCCGGAGGGCAGCAGCAAAGGAGCCGACTCAACTGTTTCAAACCAGTCAGGCAGAGTGACACGTTGCTCAGACCAACCAGCTCCAAAGACAGACAAAGTCGGCCTGAGCTGTAACCTGCGATTAGCACACCAACCAGTAATGATGAAAAAGCTGCCCATTCCATCAGAATACGAAATGGTTGGAGAGAGGAGACTGAAAAGCTCCAAGGATAAGGATTATTGCAGCTGGTGAGAAAAAAACCTGCTAACCTGAAGACGCAATGGTGAACTAGAGCGCCCAGGACAACAGGCTAGCTATGATCTTGCAGCCTCCACAGGACAAGTGTCAGGCCTTAACTATCTTGAACTGCTAAAAGCGAAACAATCTTGCAACTTCACGTGGGATTGTGAGAGAAAAAACATTTCAAGTGAGTTCTGACAGCTCCTGACTTCAGCAGTTCTATACACAGGTAAGAGAAACTGAAATTAAAATTGTGACTGCTCCTCGGGCACAGAAAGTCTGATCTCTCCTAGAAGTTACCTACAACGCACAGATGAGCCCTGAAGAGCTGTAACACCAGAATTCCTTATTACAGAGAATATACTTACTGTTCCGGCCAGGATATCATGAGGACAGCAATCCAGAAGGTGGCTCTTGCAAACACGATCGTCTGTAAACTTCACCCTTTGTCTGGTTTCATCTCCTGAAATTCATTTGTGGTTTTAAATAAGGAGACATTAGAATACCGATAAGAGAACAAAGATGTTGGTATGATCATTTCACCTCAATATGCAGATTAAAATACTTGGTGTTCCTGCTCCCCAAAATTACTTGAAAAAAGCTTAGAGGGTAACAGGATATTCTGGAACACTTATAACTGGCAACAAACACTATTTTAGCATTTATTCATCCAGTACACCATGTTAAACACAGTGTTGGCGAGCCAAGTAACGTCCAAGGCCTGTCATCCATATAAAGAGATAGCACAGCCAGAAGAGAAAAAAGGAGACAGACAGTCTGGCTCGCAGCCAAAACCCTTTTTTTTTTTTTTTCCCCCTCCCTTTTTTACCATGAGGAAGGGGCAGAAGGTACCGAAACCCACACTATCGGAGGGTGAATCACAGAACAGGGCTGTGCTGGACAGTTTTTATAGGCGATTGCTATTTGCTCATCTGATAATTAAGACAGCGGTCCATTTGGTTTGAAAACCAAATATGCAGTGTGCTTTCCAAGGCCGTGCAAAGACGAATCTTGTAGGTCTTGGCCTGGAACACGAAGCGTGCTTCCCACCCACATCCCACCCTCAGAAGACATTTTACACTCAGGAGCCACTTAAACAAGACAATATCAGAAAAGCAAAAAAATAAAAAATAAAAAAAGAAACAAAGTTAGTCAATACACACTGCGAGCTCCAACATATACTATACCCATCTGCATTCTTCAAGACCTCAGCTGCAGAATTTTATGCCCACTGTTGAAAAGTTTTAAAGGAAAAGTTTTCTTGCCCACACCTGCAGTAAGGAAGTCAGGGGAATGATACATAAAAGTAAAGGCAAAGTGGTAATGGTATGTGACAATTTTAAAGCTCATCTGTGTATATGACACAGGTATGTGTAATACTAAAGTATGAATATAGTTTAGGATTCGCAAGCATCCAGGAATAATGTTGTGTCTACTGAAAATGTTTTTTTATTTTTTTTTTTTCTTTCTAAGCTACACTTTTAAAGTTACTTGTGAAAAAAAAGCAAACACTTTTTTTTTTTTTTGTTATAACAGCTTTAAAAATTGGTTGTGACTCACGGCTCGATGAACATGAGGCTTTTCTGCAACTCCCTTGCAGATTGATGTAGGCAGGCAAAGATACACTGAACCTTTATAAATAAAATAGAGGGGCCACAATTGTTCAGTTTGTATGAAATAAAAATATGGGAAGCAATTCAATAGCAACTCAATACACAAAGAAAGAAAAGCACTTATTCACTTACGAAACAAAGTGCAAAGTACCTGAACAGCCCTGCTAACGTGCCAAAGGGAATTTAAGGACTCAGCAAGTCGCAGAAGGGAGATACAAACCGCAGCGGGAACATATTTTGCACAGGCTGTCACATTTCTTTTCTTGGACAACAACTACAGCGGCCGGCTCCTGCAGGCACACCTACCTACATGCCTCTACGTACGGCGCGGCCCGGGCACGGAGCTTTCCCTAAAACCTCTCTGCGGCAGCCGGGGCCCGGAGCGGCGGGCTCCTCCCGGGGCTGAGCCACGCCGGGCGCTTTCTAGGGCCAGGGGCGAGGCGGGCTCC